GCACACTCTTGTCATCTATATCATATTTAAAAAATGTAAACAGCTTCTTATTGCGTTTTTTTTTTTTTTTTAATCACATCTTGATTCAGTTGAATCTGTTTAGCTCTCCTCTAAACTGCTACATTAGAGATTTTGACATACTATTAAACTCCTTTTATTCTGCTTATTCATCAGTTACTGAATATTTGTAAAAGATAAAGTCGGGAGATGTGAACCACGTCACTGCAGACGGTTATAAACCATAGGTGCTCTGCCAATAGTACGGACAGTTGAAAAGAGACTGTTCGCCTGTGTCGCCGTCCGTAGCTACAGCGACGTTCCTCCATTTACCCTAGAGTTAACACCATTACCTAGAGGCTGGGTGAACCCCGGGAACCGCCCGGTTTCGAACACCAGCCGTGGGGTACAGCGAATGGCAGCTGGATTTGTGTTCCATATAGAATTACTGATTTCATATTAGAGCTACATATTCTAAGCGTGTTTTTTGTAATATACCGTGCCTATGTGGGACGCAATTTTTGTTGCCACGGACCCTAACATAACCCAACTTTTGGGTTGAACGGGGTTTTTAAGACCTCATTTTTTTTTTAAACAAAGCCCCACCCCAGTGGTCGTCATAGGCCGTAATATAATCTAACGGTTGAACGATGTTTTGAGGACGTGTACATGGGGGATTCTCGTCCGAGTGGTGGCACTTTATGTCACCGGGTGTTTATCGCTCGTTGTGCAGTCCTGATGTAGTTGAATGTCACTCGCTGTTATTCGTTTTTATTTTCTTTAACTTTCACAGATTTCCTAGGGCTACGAAAACTCCCCTCTGCTTAAGTTTTATATTCTATATTTGATCTCTTTCCGTTCCTCTATTTGTCTATAAGGTAACGATACCTTTTCACGCCTTATTTTTCAGACCAATCAGCACTAGGTGGGTAATGTGGTCAGCATTAAGCCGGTCGTCTTTACTTCCCCAGGACATACATCCTGGCACCCATTTTAACCTGGGTCGACTCGCGGCGCCCCGTACCATGATAAAAATCTACGGAACCAGCGGTGGGTTTCGATCGCGGTAGGTTAGAATTACGAGTCGGACTCGCAACGCCTAAACCACGGGTGCCACCTTATTTGTATATACCAGAGGTTCTCAAACTGTGTACCGCGAGCCTATGTCAGGGGTGCTGCGGCAACAATTAAGAATTTTTTTTTTCTTTTCAAAATCTGCTTGAGATCAGCGAGGACAGCAGTTTAAAAAACAGAAACAACGTGAAGGAAGCCAAGAAGAGTTCTGAATGCAGGTGTATTGAGAAGACAATGCTATTGACAAGACCCCAGTGCATTCTCAACGTACGCTTAAATGATAAACAGATACAGGACCAAACTTTCTGGGTCAATTGATTTGAGGGTAAATTTAACTAAATTTCCCATATACACAAAGGAAATAATGAAAAAAATAATTCAGACAGTTTCATTTATCGCATTAAAGACAACTGAACTTTAAATGTGCACTGTTTTTCTTCTTTTCCTAAGTTTTCTAACCACCTGTAGGTGTGCTGCGAAATATTTATTTGCCTGACAAGGGTACCGCGGCGAAAAACGTTTGAGAACCGCTCGTCTATACTGCTGCAGAAATAGGTTCATGACACCACATCTTTGAGTGCAGTTTCACCGAGGAAAATGGAATTATTGTTTGTCTGGTGTGTTCTCGTTATCTTCGTCTTTCCTATTTGAATTTGAAAATCTGATTGTTTTGATCTTCCAGCAAGTATGTTTGTTTTTAATTTGTATCAGATTTCTGAGTAATCTGGTAATCTGGTAATCCTAGTTTAAGCTTCATAGCAAACGGGTCAACCCATAGTTGCTTCGCTCCTGTGCCAACGAAAAACACACGTAGCTCACAGTGTCATGCCATGCACTCAACTCAGAAGCTGGGCGACGAAACTATATCCTTCCAGTCTACAAATGGAGCAAAAATGCGACGGCCACCACCTGGCAGAAGTAAAAAAAGAAAAATTTGCCACGGCTAAAAAAAAAAAAAGTTGCCGTGCCTAGCGTCCATTTTGACCTGAAGCATTATGTGAAGGTTAATAAATGGTCGCCCCAGCAGTACCCTCACTTTTCTGAGTGACACTCACATTTCTGAGTGGTACAGCAAAGGAAATTCAAGTGTGGCACACCGCTCTTTGTTAAAGGTTATGCTCAATATAACATTATAGTATAGGTGGATAGCAAAACAAAAGATAGATTGGGAAATTGTTGCCGGAGTGCACTGCTGGGAGACAGAACTGAACATTTCCAAATCTCTCGTCCTCGATTTGTAAGGAAAGGACCCTTTTTCCGCGCCTTCAGGCTTATTGAGTATATAGGGCTAGACCTACATGTTAAACACCCAACGGCACTTGGTGGGTGATGTGTTCAGGATCACGCCGGCTGCCTTTACTTCCCAGGACTGTATCTGGTATCCACTCAAGGCTGGGTGGACCTGGGAGCCAAGGTCATTTTTGAAAAAAGTTCGGTCCCCGTCGGGACCTAAACCCACGAACTTCCGCTCCGCAGGCGAGCGCCTTACAGCGGCTCCCGTCCATGATTTGTACAAGGAACAAATAATGCTTTAGAATTTAATTTACGAACCCTCGCCTGGACTTCATAGAGTAAGGTAGCCATTGTAGAGGCATTGCCATAATCTTGACCTCGACACTAAATGATATACAGCCCATCCTGTTAACTGCTTTTATACTTTCTTGTTTTGTCGAATTCTTCCTTTCCAGTTAGTTGAAAATAGCAAAGAAATTACTCCTTTACTTCTACTTATTTTTTTTAATTCTCGATATGAATATATCGAACTATTTTAAATGTATGTATGTCGGTCAACCCCACCAGAGCTGCACAACGAGCAACTAGCACGCGGTGACACAAAGTGCCACCATTCGGATGAGGATCACCGGGCACAAGTCCCAGAAACCCCGGTCAACCGTTAGGTTATATTAGGGCCCCTGACTACAACAGCCGGGGTGGGTCTTAAAATAACTACAAATTACTTCCTATCTTGGGACGTGGATATTGATACTGTCAACATTATTTTACATAACTGATCAATGTGCGAGATGTCTGGTGTAGTGTCAAAGATAATTCTGTAATATTTAGCCTCCTTAATATTAAACAAATCCTTTTCTTGAGTCTCGCTTAGAATTGTGAATAACTCGTTTTGTATAGTAGGGGACAGATAGTTTGCAATGTAAGCATTTTCCCTGGCTGCTCAATTTTCATCAAGTGTTCTCCCCGTGGCGGTTCCAGGGCCCTAATATGGGGAAGACAAGGACAGACCCACTGCCTCCCCAACAAGCATGTCGTAGGAGTCGACTAATAATGGAGACTTCCTTCGAAGTCGGATCGCATCTGCCCGAGCGACAAGGAACAACCAACTATACACAAATAAGCCAGTAAAACAGATGTGCACGCAACACTCAAACCCAGGCACAAAGCCGAAGTCCAGCCAGACGAACAACCAGGAAACAACCAGCACTTTCCACTGGAGCTTACAACCCGTGAACAAAGACGAAGAAGAATATCAAGTGTTCTCTTAGTACTTCTCAGATATTATTTTACAGAATGTTGTTACTTTTTTGTTCCCCTTCTGATCTATCATCCCCGTCTATTTTGTCTTCTTTTGCGGTAGCTTTAAAAAAATGTATTGTCTTCACTTCCAGCCGCGTTTCTTTGCGTTTGTTGGCTGAACTAAATAGTTGCAGTGTGTATTATATTGAATTTCACCCGCCTGCACTCATCTCTCTGGCTGACCTTCTTTTTCCAGTTGGCAACACCATGTGTTTGTGGTTCTCTCTGGACATTATCTCTCTATAGTTTTCTTGGTCTGCCTCTTGGTCTACAACCATTCATCTACCTGGTGTATACAGTTTGAACTAAATAGTTGCAGTGCGTGTTATACTGAATAGCTGAGGTTACTTAATTCTCATAAACTTGTTTTAAATAATATTAATACATATAGAAGTTTCGCGAGCCCCACCCCCCCCCCCCCCCCCCCCCCCCCCAAAAAAAAAAATGTTAATTTCAAAAGGAACCCCCCCCTTTTTTTTTTTCTCTCCCCCCCCCCCTCTACACCTCTAATGATGATCAAGAGCGGCTTGCACCCCACTCCACCCCTACTTTCTCATTACTTATATCATTGACCGATACGTTTGATGAGTATACGTAACATTTGACAATTGCTTTTTCAGTATATTGTTTACCCTTTTAAATATTAGCTGCGTCCGTGGTTTAGGCGTTGCGAGTCCGACTCGTAATTCCAACGTAATGCAATCGAAACCCACTTCTGGCTGCGTGGATTTTTATCGTGGTATGGGGCGTCGCAGGTCGACCCAGTCTTAAATGGGTACTAGGATGGCCGTTCTGGGGATGTAGAGACGGCCTGAGTAATGCTGACCACATTACCCACCGAGTGCCGATGGTCTGAAAAAATATGGGCGCTCTTCCCATATACCCGATGCGCCTAAAGGCGTGAACTAGATCTTTACTTTACTTACTTCTAAATATTAGCGTTGTCCGTGGCTTAGGCGTTGCGAGACCGACTCGTAATTCCAACGTACTGCGATCGGCTGTGTGGATTTGCATCATAGTATGTAGCGTAGCAGGTCAACCCAGCCTTAAATGGGTATCAGGATGTATGTCCTGTGGAAGTGACGACAGCCGGCGTAATGCTGATCATATTACCCACCCAGTGCCGATTGGTCTGTAAAAATGTGGGTGCTTTTTCATATGCCCGATGGACCTAGAGGCGTGAAAAGAGATCTTTACTTACTTTGTAAATATCAGCATCTTTCTTCTGATGTTGAATATTGGCATGGCCATTCTTATTCCTATTTTTATTTACTTGTCACTTCTGCTTTGATCTGTTTTATAATTATTATGCTGATGTAAAATAACAAGAATTATGTGATACCATACAAACTGGTTCATTCTGTAATCCTACTGTCATCTCTTGTTTGTTGCAGGCATGGGACCAGATGTGCAGGAGAAGTGGCAGCACAGGCAGACAATCATGTCTGCAGCGTTGGCGTGGCTTTCAATGCCAGGATTGGAGGTACAGTAGAGCTAGTTGTTATGAGGAGAAAACAAGCGTACAAACAGAGCACTGCTCTTTTGATGCGACAGCTTCTGTGGCATCTTTTGTTCCAAACATATCAGTGTTACTTTCCTACGTAGTTGGGAGCCGCTGTGGACTAGCGGCTAGACGCTCGCCTGCGGATCGGAAGGTCGTGGGTTCGGGTCTTGACGGCTGCTGAATTTTTTTTCAAAAATGAGATTGCCTCCCAGGTCTACCCAGCCTTGAGTGGGCACCAGATGAAGTCCTGGGAAGTAAAGGCGGTCGGTGTATTGCTGACCACATCACCCACCAAGTGCGGTTCGGTCTATAAAATCTAGGTCTAGCCCTACATACCCAAAACGCCTGAAGACTAAAAAAGGTTCCTTTACATTTTAACTTTCCTTTGTAGTTAACGAATCAGGTCAGGGGTGGGGTCATGCTGTATGGGTAACTCGTGGCCTCTACAATACTACCCAGGTTTTGTGCTGTGAAGAGAAGAAACTCTATCTCTAGCCTTGACTTTAGTCGCCGTAAACTGTCATTTCCATGCCTTTCTGTAGCATATTAATACCACCTGGAAAGACGGGAAAGTATCAAAAAAACTTAATGAGAAAAAGACTTTAAAACTTAGTAATAACTGTCAAAATGTATGGTAAACGAACAGGGGGGGGGGGGGGGGGGGAGGAGAGAAATGGTTTGATCATATAACAAAGGTGACCCAAAAAAACAGTCTTGATCCGGGATTTAGGATTTAGGTGATCGTGTGAGATGTCGAACCATAACCGCTTACTTATTGGCTTAACATGATGATAATGATTTATCGTCTGTTGTCAAGTCGTTAAACGTTACATTAGTACTGGCATGAAAAAACATGTTTCAAAATTACGTGACCCGGAAGGCTGTTGGTTAAGAATCAAATTCTGATGTTTTATTGAGCACTCAAACAAGGCATAAGCCCCATTGAAAGCAGCACCCCACCATCCACCCTGGGCTGCCTTGAAAATGTGAGCACCTCCTCCTTCAAATGTTTTATTCTGTCAGCGCCCCTGGTAATGTCTGTCATAAAGTGTAACCAACGAATGCCTCCAATACCACCCCATCACTGGGATGATAGCAAAGGTTGGTAACGTGATACACATAGTCCCGGCAAAAAGCCACGCTAGAATCCAGCAAGACGGCAACGACGAGAATTGACTGAATGGCCTCCCGCTCCCCTTCCCCCCACCTTTCCCTAAATCTTTCGGATGCACTATGAGTTTAACCCCCCAACCCATTCCCACAGAGAGCACTTGAGTTCGTTGCCCAACATGCCACAACAATTCTCATCGCCGATCATTTGGATCTCAAAGCGTGAGCTGGACGGTCCGGTTATATGGTATTTACGTACACCGGAGCTTAGCTATCAACACAACCCGATCACATAATAACAAATGACGACTGGGCTCGCTTAAGACTCCACACAAACTCCCACACACATATCCAATACATGACTAACCCGTTCATATTACAGGAAGACAACTATAAGACCACTATGGTCATACGCGGAAAATTTTCACATTTGGGAACTATTCACATTCAAAAACTGTTTTCAGTACTTTTTGGAAAATTAAAATACTCAAAATTTTAAAACAATAAATGGTGGCCGAAAGGTCGTTGTGTTTGGAAGCTCGCTCTCCTTCGAGATACGCCTAGCCAGATCAAAGGGAGACAGAACAAACAGGAAACACCACGAATGAAGAAGGAAGACTTGCACCAGTGACAACAGGACGAGCGGTTTGATACGGAGGGAAGCATTAAGCCAGAAATGGCACAAACACCAGTATTCAGTCACGAAAGTGACGCAAATAACCCAGACCACAAATATAGGCGGAGACTGTTAGCAGCCTAGGCTAGCTAGCAGCAGTCTGAACGTGGTCGAGCTTTTCTTTTTTTTTTTCTTAAAAGGACTTGGACTTGGACTTAAGCGAACCTTTCGTTATGAAAGATGCTAAGCAGAGAGAGAGAGGGGGAAAACATTGTCAAGGAAGGGGGTGGTCGTAACATTTCTTTCTGTCCAGGAACTCTAAGCATATTGCCTATATCCTATCTGATCCTGTCTGTTATCTTAGTATAAATCTTTATATTATCACTTACGTATAAAACTTAGCGTGGGTCGTTCTGGTACAAGACAGAACCAAGGCTAAATTCAAGTGGCAAAATGCACATTACGAGCCAGCAATTTGCTGAAGTTTGAGTGAGCCCTCCCATGTAATTTATGTGCTGAAGGTCAGCTCTCTGGTTGAAGTGACCTTTAGTGTCATAGTTCATGGTCACAGTTCATGAGTGTGGAATTTTATATTCTCAGGGGAGTCAACAGATTAATGAAATGGTTAGTTTCTGGAATACCTGACCTTTCCGGAGCTTAAACTTGATTGGGTGGGGGGGGGGTGTAATTTATTGATAATTCTGACGCCCAGGCAGGGCTAATCATTGACAGAAACATTTTTGTTCTCATGAATGGGTGGGTGGGGGGGGGGTGTCCTGTAGATTTGAAGTTAGGAATAAGTAACGAACTCAGGCCCAGCTACACACTAGGGTGGTCTACGTTAGATGGGGTGTCCCGGTGTAAGCAGAGTTAGTGGTTGCTGGTACGTATATGATAGCTGAGGACCACCGCAAAATGTTAAGAAGTCTGAAACCACGGGGCATAGAATGACTCCCTCGTGGGACCTAGGCTCAGTGTGTGGGGTAGGCGGGGGGGGGTGAGGTTAGGGTCAGTCGTACATGTTATGGGGTCGTTAAAAGCGCCCACATCCTGTAATATAGAGGACACGTGGTCGCCGGTAAGACCGTCGACGCAATATAACGTCGCACCAACCTGACACCCCTGCGACTTAGACTTATCTGTCTAAAAGGTTAAGCTATCTAATCCCACTACCACAACCTTTTAAAGATCATTCTAAGCTCAGCAGCTTAAGAATCATCACCTTACAAAACACATTTGGGAAGGTCTCGGAGAAGATAGTTGCTGTAAAGGTGCAAGATTTTTTGGAAAGGGGAAAGCTTCTCCCAAGAGGTCTGGGAAGCTACAGGCCAGGAAAGAATACTTGGGCAAATGCGGCAACTTTTGCTTTAGACGTCTATGAAGGGTTCCAGAACAGATAGGAAACTATGGCGGTAGGACTGGATCTCGAGGATGCTTATAACAGAGTGAGATACGACATCTTAATGACTGCACTGAGGGAGACACAGTCCATGGCTGATGAATTGGGTTGCAGCTGTCCTGTATTCACGTCGGGTTGCTCTCCGACTGGGCTCATGGACCTCAGAACCATGCACTTTGGCTCCAGGACTGCGAAAGGGATCCGCCATCTCGCCTGTGCTCTTCAACGTGTATACGAGCAATATTGCAAGCCTAGAAACCTAGAAGCACCAGGAGTTGGAAGGATACTGACTTTTGCGGATGATATACTTGCATATAGGCAGGGGGAAGAGAGGGAACAAATAGCACGGGAGCTACAGCGACAGTAAACAAAGTGACTGAGTGGTGTACATAAATTAGGGCTGTCGTCCACCCGGAAAAGGCGTCTGTTTTGTGGTGTTCTCTGGACAACAAAATCGCTAAAGCTTATGTTCCAAGTCTCACGATAGATGGTAGAAACGTCAACAGAGAGAGCAAACTGAAGTATCTGGGAATTACATTTGACAGGAGCCTGTCATTTAAGGACCATGTGGAGAGTGTTGTGACGAAATGCCAAAAAGGACTTAGTGCACTTAAGACTATGGCTGCAATTGACAAAGAGCAGAGAAACCTTTTCACACTATATCAGCACCTGATCCTATCAGTGGTTGATTCTGGCCTGGGACTGCTTACCATCTCAAAGAGTCAGATGGACAAACTAGAGCGCATACAGAACGCGGCTATGCGGGTCATTCTGGGCTGCACCCAGTGGGGTGTATGCGATACATCCTTGGTTTTCCGACGGTTGCAGGATGGCACAAGGTGCTGCAGGCGAAGTAATGTCTCAGGGTAGCTGCAGACACAGACTATCCTCTGCATGAAGCTCTAGGTGCAGTTAAGGGTCAGCGGCTGATAATAGAGAGGTCATGGATGGCTCAGACAGAAGACACATTCAGACAGGTTTGCATCCTTGAGAATATTAGGCGAGGAGAAGAGTGGGTCAAAGTGCAACCTGAACATTCCGACTTGTGTAGAGTCATAATCATGCTGAGCCGGGAATGTAGAGACTGGCCAGCAGGTGCCACAGAGGTGGAAATACGGCATTTAATTCAAGATAATGCTCGCTCAGAGGATTTGATCATTTACACAGAGGGTTCAGTGTCAAGAGGCAAAAGAAGTGCTTGGGGTTTTTTAGCAAAAGTTAATGGTCGACGTTTGGTGCAGGAGAGCCTAGCATATGATACCACAACATCCAGCTTAAGAATGGGGGTGGCGGCGGCCACTGCAGCTTTCCGCTGGCTAGAGATCACGACACAAAGCATGTCGAGGAAGATAAAAACAGGTATGCTTCGTGCAGAGTGGCATGCTTCACTGCGGAGAACACGGGTGAGGAGTATTGTCTGGATTTTTTCACCGGGTTAGGCCGGTATGTTGGGAAATGAACAGGCGAACAGACTGGCCTTGTGGGAGAGCATGTACAGTTCGGAGGAGCAGATGGATCACCACAGTCTAGTGAGACTGATGCAGCGGGGAGTGACGAGAGGTTCTGGCAGATGCCCAAGGCTCAGAGGAAAGGCAAGACGGACATTTAATCAGAAGGCTACTGGCACCATTAGTATCGGAACTTTTCGCTGGATGCTGAAGATGGGGGCGGAGCGCTTATAGGAATGCGCCGAGTGCTGTGATGTCGGTTCTTGAATCAAATCAAATCAAATCAAAGGTTAAGACGTAGAAATGTACGTCCAGTCACAGTGTGCCGGTCCCTACTTCGTTATTCAGCACAGTATGCCGGGCGAGTTCGTTATTCAGCACAGTGTGCCGGGCGAGTTCGTTATTCAGCACAGTGTGCTGGACGAGTTCGTTACGTGTACCTGAAGCTACAGTTAAGTTATGGATTTTTAGATGTGTCCGGCCGTTCTGTCGGTTACCCCCTCCCCCCCCCCCCCCCCACCCCCAACGCACATTGTCCAGTTTTATAAAAGTTTGTAAAATAGAATAGCTACTTAAGTATTAATAATAATAACAAAAACAAAATAACAAATTCTATAATTATTTGTTTTTCGGGGGTAGGCAGGGGAGTCTTTGAGCCTGAAGATTTATTGCCGCATGTCTAGTGCTGTCGCCACTGACTGTGCAGGTGAGGATTTTATTTTGCCCTGACAGACAAAATCTCCAGCCTTACCGAGGCTTCAAACCTGGGTCTCCCGCTTGAGAGCCCAGGATTAAAACCGTTCGGCCAGCTGCTCCTCGCTTTTTAAAATACTAATCAAACTCAACCGCTATTACTGCATATATGTATCCCTTTAGCAGTTACGTTTAGACAGAGGGCCTTTGAACCTGCGGATTTAGGCGTCAGCAGAAAAATCCCATGACCTTACCAAGCAATAAAACTTGGGTCTGCCTCATAAAAGCCCAGGGTTTTTAACTGCTCAATTATCATCACATCCCTGCCTGGTCTGGACTTCACATTACTGTTACTTCATAACCATCAGGGGGACCCCAGTATTACCTAACGGCCGAACGGAGCTTCCTTACAGTTGACCGGGGCTTCCTTACGACTGAAAGGGGCTTCCTTACAGTTAAATGGGGCTTCTTGCGACTAAACGGGGGCTTCCTTACGACTGAACGGGGCTTCCTTACAGTTAAACGGGTCTTATCAGGTTTTGTGCATGTATTGTTCTCATCATTGAGGTGTTCTGAAGTCCTTGAGGGTGGCAAACTGCAACCGTTCAGCTATGCGCGACTCTTTAAACGACTCTTTAAAATACGGATCCCAGAAGAAAGGAAGAGAACAAAATCCTTGTTCCTGTAAAATTGTTGCATCTTTTTTGTTTTTAAGGTGTACGAATGTTGGATGGGGATGTCACAGATTCCGTGGAGGCCCAGTCTCTTGGGTTGAATCCACAACATATACATATATACAGTGCTAGCTGGGGACCAGATGATGATGGCAGGACGGTAGATGGGCCAGCTACTCTAGCCAGAAAAGCTTTCTATGATGGCATCACAAAGGTATTCATAATTTTATTTACTGAAAAAAATGTGCTCAAAAAGTTTCTGGTGCTGTGTACCATTGTGTACCAATACCCTTTTTTTTTTTTTTTTTAGACACTGTGGTTAGTGGGAGTTGCCATGGCAGAGCGGCTAGATGTTTGCTGTGGATCAGAAGGTCGTGGGTTTGCTCCCTGGTGGAGCCAGACTTTTTTTTAAAATGACTTTGGCTCCTAGGTTGACCCAGACTTGAGTGGGTACCGGGAGCAGTCCTGGGAAGTAGAGGCGGCCGGTGTAATGCTGACCACATCACCCATCTTGTGCCGATTGATCTATAAAATATAGGTCTAGCCCTCTGTGCCCTATACACCTAAAGGTGTGGAAAAGGGACCTTTACTTTTACTTACTTACTGTAGCTAGTACTACAACTTTTTTTGTTTAGACACTTTATTGTTAGTACTTACACCTTGTTTGTTTAGACACTGTGGTTAGTACTGACACCTTGTTTGTTTAGATACTGTGGTTAGTACTACAACTTTTTTTGTTTAGACACTTTGGTAAGTACTGACACCTTGTTTGTTTAGACACTGTGGTTAGTACTGACACCTTGTTTGTTTAGACATTGTGGTTAGTACTGACACCTTGTTTGTTTAGACTGTGGTTAGTACTGACACCTTGTTTGTTTAGACAATTTGGTTAGTACTGACATCTTGTTTGTTTAGACACTGTGGTTAGTACTGACACCTTGTTTGTTTAGACATTGTGGTTAGTACTGACACCTTGTTTGTTTAGACACTGTGGTTAGTACTGACATCTTGTTTGTTTAGACATTGTGGTTAGTACTGACACCTTGTTTGTTTAGACACTGTGGTTAGTACTGACACCTTGTTTGTTTAGACTGTGGTTAGTACTGACACCTTGTTTGTTTAGACACTGTGGTTAGTACTGACATCTTGTTTGTTTAGACACTGTGGTTAGTACTGACATCTTGTTTGTTTAGACTGTGGTTAGTACTGACACCTTGTTTGTTTAGACACTGTGGTTAGTACTGACACCTTGTTTGTTTAGACACTGTGGTTAGTACTGACACCTTGTTTGTTTAGACAATGTGTTTAGTACTGACACCTTGTTTGTTTAGACACTGTGGTTAGTACTGACACCTTGTTTGTTTAGACACTGTGGTTAGTACTGACATCTTGTTTGTTTAGACACTGTGGTTAGTACTGACACCTTGTTTGTTTAGACATTGTGGTTAGTACTGACACCTTGTTTGTTTAGACACTGTAGTTAGTACTGACACCTTGTTTGTTTAGACACTGTCGTGAGTACCCGTACCTTTTTTGTTTAGACACTGTAGTACATCATCAATCAGCAAGTCCTTTACAGAAAATTCGCTCTCTTCAGTATCCCTTTCCCTAGCCAGCTCTCCGGCCCCATGTGCTTTCAATGCCAATGCATCTTCAATGTCTCGTATCCATTTTCATGGTGGTTGACCCCTGTCTCGCCTTCCACAAACTGCACCTTCCATCACCATCTTTTCCAAGCCACCATGACGTTTGATGTGGCCAAAATACTTCAACTTTCGGGACAGGATGCTGTTTATGAGCCAGTTCTCCTTGATGTTCAACTCATTCAGAATGTCGATGTTTTTCCTCTTCCTGATCCTTGGTATTCTAAGAATTGTTCTATAACATTTTACTTCAAAAGCTCCAATATTTTTCCTCAGTGACTTCTCACAACTGTAAGTTGCCACAGGAAAAATGCATGATCTCAAATTTTTACTTTAACCAATTTACTAGTGCCACAGGTTCTTTATGTTATTTAATCTCTGCATTGCTAATGCAAGTCCTTTTCTGCCTTTTATAAGCAGTAGTTAGTATCGGTACCTTTTTTGTTTCGACACGATAGTTAGTACTGGTACCCTTTGTGTGTGCGTGTGCCTGTGTGCGCATGTGCCTGTGTGAGGGGGCATGCGCACACACGTGTGTGTGTGTGTGTTTGTGGTGGGGGGGGGGGTGCAGAAGCTCTGCATATGCTAAGTAACAACATACAGGCAGGAACAGCAGCTTTCCTGCTGACTTTAATGATGCTGTGATGCTGATGAATTATCCCTGACGTCTTAATTCAGCCAAATGTATTGTTTAAAACTGGGAACTCATTAATTCATGTAATTAATATGTGCTTTTGCCAAGAAACACAGTCACTATTATCAACACTTATAAGACAGAGAAAATGGTGCTGTATTGGGCACATCTTGTGAAGAAATATGCAGAGTCACAAAACAAGCACTGAAAAGAGAAACAAATGGACTGAGGAAATGAGGATGTCTAAGAGAAAACCTAAAGCGAACAGTATTGGGAAAAGCCAAAGGTGCTGAACTGGATTGCACAGGAGTGAATGAAATAAAGGATAAGACTGTGAGCCCTATGTGACATATAATGGCACAACAGGATGGTGATTATGATGCTGTAATATTTATAGTCCTACATGTGGCAGTTGTACCAAAGAAATCAGGACAAGACTTGATGTGGCAACAACCGCAATTTACCAGCTGATTTCGATGTGGAGGAGCAAAATCATCATAGCAATAAAAGTCAATATTTACAAATCACTTGAATTGTATATCTTCTTATATGAATGTGAGAGTTGGACTCATACTACGAAGATAGGAAAGGAGGATTCCGGCTTTTGAAAATATTGCTATAGACAACTTTTATGATTTAGCTATTTAGAATATAAAACTAACAACTATGTAAGAGACAAAATAAAAAAATTTACCTCTTATGGCAGTGGTGAAATTTCGCAAGCTAGTCTGGTTCAGGCACATGGTGAGTTGTGATTTTATTGCAAAGTCTATATACTTTGAAAAACGTTGGGGGTTGTCGAAGAAGAATGGGTGCAAATAAGAACCTGGAATTATAATATCAGCACATAGACAGGACTAAATTATTATACACTAGTTCAACAAGCGGAAGACAAAGATGGTGTTTTGTATACTAATGCTTCCATCTATACACTTCCATGATCCTTACAGTTCAAGGGTTATATTATGTTATAGTCACACAGTACTGTAGACTAACTTCAACATTTTTGATGATATGTATCTCACAATGATTCTTGCTGATAGGGCCGAGGGAGTTTAGGCTCAATTTTTGTATGGGCCAGTGGCAATGGTGGGAGAGACTCTGACAACTGCAACTGTGATGGATACACAAACAGCATATACACACTGTCCATTAGCAGTGCAACAGAGAATGGCAACATTCCTTGGTACTCTGAGGCCTGCTCCTCAACCTTAGCCACCACCTACAGCAGTGGCTCGGGTGGGGAGAAACAGATCGTAAGTTTTCCTGTTAGTCTTTTTTGTGTGTTTCTTCAAACAAGAGTTCTGTACCACAGTTTTCATTCTTTTTAATGCAGGGCTGCCAACGATGGGTTTTTACCCCCACATCTGGGTTTTTATTTGACGCCTTGGGTTAAGATTTTGAAATCTGGGGTTTTGTTAAAAAAAACATATATCCTTATATAAAAGTGGGTAAATGTTTTGTTTTGTAACTATAAAATTTGTACTTGTTTTGTGTTCTTTGCCTGTGTAATGCTTGGGTTTTTCACACAAAAATCCCATTGGCAGCCCTGTTTAAATATATTCAGTGTACGTCTTCTTCTTTTCTCTACTCCTGGAGTGCCTCGCTGCATCAGGGCGCTTCAGTGGTAAGATGTGCAGTGAAACAATGGATTGTATGATCTGTGTATGTCAGTTGAAAATGACTGTTATTTTTTATTTTTGCATGTGCTTCTTTGTATGTTAATCTAATTGTTGTAGTCCCAGGAAGGAATTATTCTCACTAGCTGTATTTTACATACTTACCTTTTTTTTTAATTGATCCTATTTAATATTCACCATTTTTCTTAGGCATTTGTTTTCTAATGCATATTACTTTCATTGTACATCTTTAATTGTTCTCCAAATGTCACTGTTTTCTTCTCTCTCTCTCTCTCTCTCTCTCTCTCTCTCTCTCTCTCTCTCTCTCTCTCTCTCTCTCTCTCTCTCTCTCTCACTTTCTCCCTCTCTCTCCCTCTCTCTCTCTTTCACATACCTACTTACACACAAACATACACTCACATGAGCACACACACACAAACATTGGACTATATGATTTGTATATTTAAATTAAAAGGAATCTTTGGGCAGGGAAGGAGAGGGGGAGCTTTATTGTATGTAAATATAATTGAGGTATAGTAACATTTGCTGGGCAATACATTGTGCAATACACTGCTTGTCTCCTCTTTATTTAAACATGATGGCTGCTGTGATTTCAGGTGACTACAGACTTACGCCAGAGCTGTACAGAAACACACACAGGAACCTCAGCTAGCGCCCCCTTGGCTGCAGGAATTATAGCATTAGCTCTGGAAGCAAAGTAAGCTTTTTTAGATTTAAATTGAAGGGTTTGGTTTCATCTTTCTGTAACATATTTTAATTTTCTCCCTAGGGGTCTCAGTGCCTCATTTTGGAAAAGGGGGGGGGAGAATAGACCTGCTGCCCCGTAACAAACAAGCATGTTGTAATAGGCATTTGAATTAAGTGGATATGTTTGCCTAAAGGCGCATATATCACAGTCTAGCTGTAAACTACAACATGCCACTCACCCTTTTAAGGGCAAATGCAACAGATTTTTATTTTTTTTTTTGTTTTAATTATTTAAATGTTTAATAAAGTACAAGTGAAAGTTGAGATGATGGACAAAATATAAAATTTAAAAAAAAACAACAAAAATTTATAGAAATTAAAATTTTAAAACTTATATATTAAACATTTCACTGGAAGAAAAACTAAAGTTGACAGTAAGTAAATAAGAATTTAACACTCTCAATAATAACAAATCTATAAAGAATAAATAATTTTACGACCTCCCTTGAAACTTTACCAAACCTTTTGACAAATACATGCTTCACTGCACACCAGTTCACAGCAGCATTCCAGGAAATGAGGAAGCAGATCAACTCACACAACTGAGCAAGAGAAAAACAATTCTACCAAATTTTCTTTCAGAGCAAAATAGACAAAAGGTTAAACTGACCACAGAAAAATTATAATGATCAACAGTTTTCAACGGCAAGATTAAGTCATCATTTTTCAGTTGTGAAAAACGCACAGTAGACTATAGAAAAATCTTTGTCCTAGGTTAAAGGCTGGTGTTTTTTATCTCTTTGTAGCAGTAGTTCATTGACTGTAAGACACATGATAATGTCTGTCCAACTTGAAGTAAGAAGCATAAACAAATGTGGTATCAGCCTTCAAAAACTAAATGGGATATGAGGAGACTGAAACAAGCAACTGCTTTATTAAACTTATGAATGTGGAGAAGATCTACAGATGAATCATGGGAAAGACTATATAGATTCCATCTCTACTTCATAGCTGTGAGGGCTGTTTTTATTTTATTTTGAAACACAGAAAGGTATGGTAGCTAACAGACTCTCAGGTTCACCTTTTATCCTTGATGGATCATGTGCTATCAGCCAACTCATAGAAAATCTCTTATTCTTTGTTATCTCTTGTTTTCATCTCTTCCATATGCTTCTCATATTACTCCTTTCTTTCCCTGATTTTCTTCTGCATGGTTGTTTAGGTTTCTGCCTGTTTCTTTTGTGCTGTAAATTTTAGAAGAAGGAATTTCTTGTTATACTTTCAACAGGTTTTCTTGATTTGTGTCCTATCCAGCACCATTGTCTCTTCCTCACCTCTTGATTTGCTGATTATTAGTTATCTCAGTTGTCTATCTTGTCAACATCTGTGGCTTAGGCATTGCTTCTTAATTTCTTAGTGCCTGGTTTGATTCCAGCTGTGGGCAGTTTGGCAGCAGACTGCATGGTATTAGTTTCACCAGTGGTGTCAAGAGGCAACTGTTCAATAAGCAGTGGCAAACTACTGAACCTAAAATTGCCTTGTGAAAGGACATGCAAATATTTTTTTTTGTCCATGAACCCCATTGTGGGCTACTATATACAAGCACCAAATAATAAATGTCTGTAGTTTATTGGTAATTTTTTTTTTAAAGTAATTTATCAAGTTTTAATCAATAGAACACTACCAGTTTGACATCAGAGTTAAATATTCTGATTTTGAGAGTAATATTAATTTCCTTTCAAACCAGGTTTCCTGATGGTATGAAATTTGCTCTTATCATTTATATTTGTATTGCAATCTGTAGTTTCCCTTTCTTTGTCTACATTAATACCAAAATTTATGTCAGTTTTTTTTTTTTTCAAAAACCCCCTGAGCTAAGTCTCAAAGTAGTTGGGTTATCATTGACTTGATTTATCTTTAATGTCTTTGCCTTTTCCCTGTAAATTCAAATTGAAAATATGACTCTTTATGTAACTATTAGTACAAATTGTAAGCAGAACAATCGTTATTTCATGACATAAAAAAATGTTCCAGTTGTGAAATTAAGTTGTTTTCATTCTTTGCTGGTTTCAGTCCATCATTAACCTGGCGAGACATGCAGCACATTGTAGTTGAGACAGCAAAACCGCACAACCTGAATGCTGAAGATTGGGTGATAAATGGAGTAGGCAAAAAAGGTAACATAATTATTCATAACATTGCCAAGAAAAAAATTATGAGAATGAATCACAGACTAAAGGCAGTTTTGTGTTTTCGCAGAGGTAAAATGAAGACTGCGTGTATCTGATATCACCACATGTATACTTTCAGGGACATGAAGTAGGAGTATCCCTCAGTGTTCCATTCAATCAAGTGTCAGGAGCAAAAATGTCACATGTATGGACACACCACTCCACGAATGCACCATTGAGGAAGAGCGGCCTGTAGTGCACTTTCTGTGGTCAGAGGGAGTCAAATTGGCAGATAGGAGCTAGCACCATGACAAAAGATGTATGAATGGCTAGACCACTTCAAAGTAAGACACACGAGTACAATGGACAAAAGTCAAAATGAATGCCAAGACACAACCTGACACAGAAGAAAACCTCCAATCATTTTCAAAGACGATTTAAGAATCACAATAACACAAGTGCAGATCTCTTGGACATCAATTTCAGATCAGCATATGCAATAGTGCTTGTTGAATTAGGGCACCATAAAGTTTGTGCGAGATGGACCACACAGATTTGCATCTTCTTGAGTGGAAATAAAGATGTTGTGTGAAAGAATATACACCCCCACCCGTCCAAAAAATATCTATCTGTGTAAAATACAATGGCTACTTACTATAATGCCTCTTTTATGGTTTTATCTCTTGTCAGCACTATAATTCTTACACTGTTGACACAACCATAATTGCTCAATTTGTCCTCAGTTCAGTATGTGTGTATATTGACTGTCTTGATCAGTTCATAACATTACCACACATGCGTATATGCACACACACATGTACGCACGCTGCTCATACACATTTACATAGTATTGAATGATCAAAAAGAATAGCATAAGCTTGCCTGCCAGCTGAAAGATCTTGTGTTAAAATCCACTTGACAGGACTGATTTGATATAAATAATCTGGGCCTTTAAGTCATCCAGCCTAAAACAGGTATCATGAAATATCCTGGGAAGCAAAAGCAGAAAACATTATGTTTATCTTTGGATATTTTCTCTAAGGTATACAGGAGTGTTGGCAAATGAACAGGCAGACAGATTGACTGGTTCTGGATGAATAGGTGGTGAATTTATGCATGACAAGCTAGATGTGGTCAATAGTCGTTTGGGAGCAAGTGAACAATGCAAAAGCACAAATAGAAAATTATGATCTAATGAAAATGGTACAGCTAGGAGTGACCAGGGGATCAGGCCAATGCTCTACACTCAGAGGAAAGGCAAGACAGACATATAATCAAACAGCTGCTGGCATGATCAGAATCAGCACACTTTCCTGGCTGAAGATGAGGATGGAGCACTTATGGGAATATCCAGAGTGTTTTGATGTAAGTTTTTAGCTCAGCACTCAACCTATCAAGTGGTGACTGATCTATAAATATGTGATTCTAGCACCATGTGCCATTGTGTTGTTTTAGTTTCTCCCACACTAAGGTGTGTCTATGAAAAGTGATCATTTAGATTTAGCTTTATAGTATTTCATTACAGTATTTATCAGGCAGCTGAGACGTGGTTCCTGAGAAGAATGTTGCGAATACCTTGGACTGCCAGAATAACTAATAATGATTGCCTGGAAGTGGCTAATGAACATAGAACATTATATACAACAATGAGAAGGAGATGGCTGGAAAGATCACTGGTAGAAGAGGCAGAGACAGACCCAGAGAAATGATGCTGGATGGCTTAGGACGGTGGCATGGAGGAATATCATCATTAGCATTGATAAAAAACACCAAAGACCAAGATCTGTGGAGATGCATGAACGCCTGCACCAACTGGCAAGTCACTTGATGATGATAATGATTTATCAGGCTGAAAGTAAATGTATATGGCAGGTGGGAATTTCTCATAATTTTTGTTAACCATATTCATTTTTCTTAAATAATTATAGTTAGTCATTCCTTTGGATTTGGTCTGATGGATGCAGCAGCGATGGTGTCTCTGGCACGCAACTGGACCACAGTTCCAGAACAGCGCATTTGTGAAATACGTTCACAAGACCACAATAGGTATAGTGTACCATTCATATGTGTATGTATACATGAGTTGGAGGTGGACTGGTCTGAGGTTGACTGGTCAGAGGTTTGTTCAGTGCATTTATGAGAGTTGTCTATTGCAAGCAGTTTTTGCCTTAGCTAATAACTATAGCTTCATTTGTTGCTGTGTCATTTTACCTCTTTCAGTCCAAAGAAATGTATCAACCTATGCATTTTTTAATAGTATATTGTATTCTCTGGCTTTGCATTTGGTCAAAATTTTGCTCAACCAGTGGTGACTTCCATTGTGTGTGTGGCCTCTTTGAAAGATAATCACCCTCTTCTTCTTCTTCTATGATCTCTAGTCTTGCGCTTAATCCACTGTGGGCATAAACTGCAATGTCATCTCAAGGTCTCTTATGTTTCTCCAGTGCTTAATTATCAGGTCTGCTTAGTGTGGCCACACATTTTGCTCTGCAGCTCCACCAAGAGAGAACAGTATTGCAAGACATGTTCTGGAGTCTATTTAACATGAAAATACTGACAGAAAGCTGTTTGGCTCATACCTAATCTATTTGAGTGTTTGTTGAGTCTGCAGTGTCCAGTGCAAAAGCGAAAAACTGTGACTTGGTCTCTTCTGTTCAGATGGCTAAAGAAATCTTTTTCATAGTTCTAACTTGATTTTCTCTTACTGAGGATTTTGACTTCTGGAAAAGATAGCGGCTCGTAGATTTGTGGTTTGCTACTGCATTCCTTGGCTAAACCATCAGAGCTTTCATTGTCTTTGATGCCACAATGAGATTGAATCCACTGCGGGTGGGTTTCT